GTCTCTCTGTTGTGCTCCAAACTTTAGTTCCCTCCCCTCTCTTACTTACCAGATTTCAACTGCGGGACCTCTCACCCCCAGGCTCACACCAAGTGCGCGGCGCACTGCACTCCTGTCCAACTGAGAGCTGTTTTTGTGTTGAGTGGCCACTGTGCCAAGTTATTGCCACTGGGTGGGGGGAATTGGAAACCAGGTACCTACTCAAATGGAGATCCAATCTGATAGCCACGCCCACCAAAAAATGGCAAGAAAGGTTTTCCAAGATGGAGTCAGTCTGCTTCCAGTGCCGGGATGTCTGGTGAGGTGGGGGGAGCTGGGCAATGGCCTTGTGCTATGGATAGGTAGCAGCTGAATTACCTGTGTGGGAGTGGATCACAGTCTGAAGTTCTGCAGAGGCGCTGATAAGTGATTCTGCTAAGCTGCCTGTGAGCCATGCATGAGCTAGAACTGCAGTCTTTGGGTCGGAGTCTGGAGTCTAAATTTGAATGCAGAGGCTCTGATTTCTGTGTGGGTGGTTGCAGTGCTGGTGATTCCTGTGAAAATCCACTGTATAGGGGTCTTCTCACACTGAGATATTGGGTTCCATCTAGGTGAGACCTTGTAGAGAAGCTGCCTGTCTGCTTTCTTGGTTTCATGCCACAGAGCAGTCAGAAACAGGACCTCCTCTATTCTTCCATCTTGGATCCTCCTTTAGTAGTCTTAATAAAGAAGCCAATGTGTGCTTCTATATGTTGGAGTGTTGGATCTATGTTTTCTTCTAGCAGATGAAGAGTTTAATTTCCAGATCTTTGATCCACTTTGAGCTGACTTTTATGCAGGGTGAGATATAGGGATCTAGTTTTATTCATTCTTCTGGTATGAATATCCAGTTTTCCCAGCACCATTTATTTAAAAGACTATCTTCTCCAGTGTATATTTCTTCTTTATTGTTTCTTGAAGTGTAAAGTTAGATTATTTGAGATCTTTCTTTATTTAGGCATTTTATTACTATAACTTTTCTTCCCAGTATTGCTTTTGCTGCATGACATAGGTTTTAGTGATATTTTCATTTTTATTCATATTTATATGCCCGTTTGATTTTCTCATTGACCCAGTTGTTGTTCAAGAATTTAATTTCCATGTATTTGTGAATTTTCCCATTTTCTTGCTGTTATTGATTCCTTTTTCCCCCCATGTAGTGCTAGGGATTGAACCCAGGGCCTAGCACATGCCAGGCAAACATTTTCCACTGGGTTACATTCCAGCCCATGGATACTGATTTCTAGTTTTGTCACACGGTGGTCATAATCATATCAAGACATAATCACATCAATAAAATAAAATACTAAATAGCTTCTAAAGAGTATAAACTTATTTTTTACAGTTCTTGAGGAAAGAGAAGTCCAAGATCAAGGTGATTCAGAGCCTATTTCCTAATTCACAGTACCTTCTTCCTGTATCCTCAAATAATAGAAGGGGCAAACCAGATCTCTAATTAAGACACTTTTCTTATTTATAAAGGCCCTCATGATACTATCTCCTCCTCCCAAACCTCATCTATTAACCTTGGGATTAGAATTTAAATATATGAATTTTTTAGTGACACAAACATTTAGACCTTGGCCCTTGATTTTTACGTTGAACCAAGCCAGTAGGAAATGGTCTCCTTCCTTTTTGGGCTCCTTTAGTACTATTACTTGCCTACCCCATCATTTATCAGATACAGAGCAATTAGAAGCCCAACCTACCATACACAGCAGCTGGGAAATACAGGATGTTAGGGGTGATTTTGAACTTCTTCCAGAAAGAAACTGAGAGTTGGACATTTTTGCCTTTGGGCTTGCTCTGCATTGAACAAGGCAGACAGCAATTAGGAATTATTCACACACTCATAATCTCTTTATGTTCCATGGTCCTGAGGGACTCACTCCTAGAGACAGGTGATTTATGAGGCAGTCCCTCTAGGAGGAGCCATAATAGTTATGGTGCCCAAATTGGGACAAATTTCTTCATGGTGAAGCTAGAGACTTGGTTTTTTTGTTTTGTTTTGTTTTGTTTTTTTACTGGAATGAATTATGAGGAGAAGGTATAGAGAGTGCCCTCGTGGTTGTTCAGGCTTTCAGAGGATTACTAATTTCCTGCCCCATCAGCTCCCAGATTTAGGCTAGTAAGAAGGCAAACCCATGGGCAGCAATTGAAAAGGATACAAACTCCTTCCAGAAAAAAACACTGGAAGCTAGGAATTTGGGGTTAGTTGCTCTATGCTGAGCCGAGAGTATTAGTCTGGAAATTGTTCAAGTACCCATTTAAAATTGTTTCTTTGTTCTCTCTGGTCATTGGGCACTTAAAAATATCAGGTTCCATTAGCTCTCAGAGCTAGGTGATTTAGTACCTAATTATTTGGGAAGGAAACTTTGTTGGGAGATTATTGTTAGTTTTTGTTGTCTCAACACTTTGCATATCTTGGCTTGCAAAGTTTCTTCTCACAAGTCTGCTGATAGTCTTATGGAAGTTCCCTTACATGTGTCGAGTCTCTTATTCTTGGCTGCTTTTAAGATTCTGTCTTTGACTTTGACAATTGATCATATTGTGCCTCAAAGTATTCTTCTTTGAGTTGACCTTTGAGCTTTAAGAATATAGATGTCTATATCTCTCCCAAGATTCTGAAAGTTTTCAGACAGTATGTCCCCACTTCTCTTCCTCATGGTATATAATTTATATATTCATACAATCATTTGTGTCCTATAGGACCCTTATGCTTTCTTTACTCTTTTTCATCTTTTTTCTTTTTGCTCCTCTAATTGGCTAAGTAAAATTTATGTCTTCAAGTTCACCGATTCTTTTTTGCATGCTTGAGTCTGCTATTGAAGCTACTGAATTTTTCAGATATGTCATTGTTTTCTTCAACTCAAAATGTTTTGTTAGGTTTTTCTTTATGGTTTCTATTTCTTTATTAAGCTTTTCATTTTGTTCCTGCATTGCTTTTGTAATTTTATTTAGTTGTCTATCTGTGTTATTTTGCATCTTCCTGAGCTTCTGTGAGGTGGATATTTTGAGTCTTCTAAGGCAATTTGTAGATTTCCATTTATTTGGGTCAGTTGCTTCATTAGTTTCCTTCAGCAGTGCTATCTTCTTCATTCTTCATTATCCATGCAGTCTTGCATGAGTGTCTGTACTTTTGAATAAGCAAGTACCTCTTTCAGGCTTTACTGATTAGTCCCATCAGGTTATGTCCTCCTTCTGTTAAGTTCCCAGATTGATGGGACTGCCTCCAGGATCATGGGGATTGGGGTTGGATCTAAGCATGGGGCTATTTCTGGATATGAAGTGAAGTCCACAGCTGGAAAGTCTTTTACCAGGAGCTCTAACAGGTATGGACTATCTTTTTTGGTATGTAAATCTGGTACTAGGATTAGGGTCTGCTTCAGGGTATAGATAATGGGCCTGTTTTGAGGTACACAGATGGGTGTGGCTTCCTCCAGGTCCCAGGAGGACTCAGCGATACTTCCTTGGTCTGTATTAAGATGAGTGGAAACATGTTGCGGAGCTGCTTCAGGTTCCAAAGCCAGAACTGAGGTTAGGTCTTTCCAGGGAACACAGATGGCCATGTATCCCTCTGTGTGTCCCTTTGCCACCAGCAAGACTGATCTCAGCCTGCTGTTGAGATGGACTACATCTGAGTCTAGCAGCTACTTCAGAGTCTGCTGTTAGATCATTGTTGGCAGATCTGCTGTATCTTTCCCTGAGTCTATAGGTGAGCAAGACTACTCTCGGTGTGCAGCTGTGATGGGCTGGAACAAAGTCTTGAGGCTGTTTCAGAGTCCACAAGTAGGACCATTATCAGCAAGCCTACATAAGGCACCCCTCCCTTGGGGTCCCTGTGCCACTTGCAGGACTGATCTCACTGTAGAGAGGGGTTATACCCAAGTCTTAGATGTATTTAGGCATCCACAACTAGTACCAAGATTGTCAAGCCTGCCCTAGGAACTCAAAATGTTTTCTCACCAAGTTCCTATGTTGCCAGAAAGCTGATCTCTGGTCACTGCTGAGAGGGGCTGAGCTAAGTCTCACAGCCATTTCTGGTCCACAGCCAGAACTAAGGTCAGCAGGTCTATCACTGGAGGTATAAGTGAGCACTGTTCATTCCAAGTCTCTGGGTGGATGCTTCTGAGAGCAAGATCAAGATAAATTAGGATATAGTAAAGGTCATGCCCAGATTTGAAGGCAGAGACATGGTTGTCAAGTCTGCCACCTAGGCATTGTTCATTCAAAATAGCTCTCCCAGGTCTTGGGCTCCACTGGGATTTCACAATATACTACTTGGATCCTAAAGCTCCCACAAAGGCACTTTTCCCCATGGATGGCTGCAAAATTATTGCCATGCATAGATACAAGCAGAGGACCTTCTATTCTACTGTCTTGCTATTGCTATTCTGAATATAATCATAATTTTAAATGTGTATAACAGTAAATACAAACACTCATGGAAAGCATATGACAAGACTTGAGGGAGGTTGAACAAATTCTGACAGTATTTTTAACTGCAGAAGAGAAATTGGATGTGAAGAGAAGGTGAAGGGTAAGGAGATAAGCATTTCTTTTTATATAATTTAATATTGTTTCAATTTTTTCAAATGTATTATGTATCATGCTTAAGTAATATTTTAATGAAATGTTGAAAAGTCATGACCTTGAGAAAAGTTTCCGTACCCAGGAAAATGTACCTGATATTAAGACTTTGTGTAAGACTTTGTGTGCCCATGACACCAAATCCAAAGATCCAATGTTTACCCAAGATTAAGAAGAATAATTACTGACAAACAATATTTAGAATTATAGAACAAGAAAGTAACTCAGACATCTAAGCTTAAATATTATGTTTTGATAATGATTACATTAAGAATACATTCAATATTATTTGACAAAACCCACATTGTTATATTTAGGCATAAATAATGAAAGTCAATGGAATTTGACAATACATCCTGCAGAAAACCTTGCAGGCATTACAAATTTCTAACCTTTAAAATCGAAGTTTAAATCCTCTTTCACCATCTCAGTAATACGTTTTGCTACATCACTTTCAGAAGGCACATAAACCAATTCAAATGTCAAGTTAGGTATTTCAAGAAAAGAAGGAAGCGTCAGGGGAAGGGAATCAAAAGTGGAAGAATTATAAAGCTTCTTTTCACTATAATTTCGAACAGTCAAAGTCCATAAAAAGAACAGAAATACCAAGAGCATTTCCAAAATCAAACCACTCATCTCCCGCATCTGTAAGAGAAACAAAAAAACTATGTTAATTGGCATGTGTGTGTGTTTCACTCTAGGGTTTACAAACCTAAATTATCCTGCTTCCTTCTATAATAAGAATGGTTTCCTGGATTGTCTTTTCTACATTTTATTACTCATTCTATTGATTCACCCTATGGGTATTCTTCAGATTTAGAAGGGCTACCCCAAGCCTTGGAGCATAAGAAAAAAAATGAAACAAAGGAACTATTAAGAAATTTCCCATTTGTCTTCACTAACCTTTACATACATTTTTCACAGAGACTTCCACTTACCTTTAAGTGGAAATTTTTCCAGAGGAGGACTGAAAACTGCCTGAGCCATAGTGAATCCATTTTTTCACAAAGAATGGAAGCTCAATTCTTAAGAAGTAAAACTCTAAAATAATTAAGGTTACCTGCCAAAATATTAAATTTCATCAAATAAAGAATTACTTCATTTTCTAGTTTTATTTTGTCAATCTTGAAAAATAACTACATGAAAATTTTAAATACATATTTTCTCCTTATATATTTTTATATCCTAATTAAATTCACATCCAATAGTCTTCTAATATGTATAAAATATACAATAAAGATACAAAGAGCAAAAGTTCTAGCTCCATTTTCATAAATATGTAAAACACAGATGTAGAATATCAATTATTATTTGGACAGGTTCTGAAAGTTTCACAAATCACAACACTGCATACCCACTATTTATTTAATGCCTACTCTGTGCAATGTTCTGTGCTAAACATTAGGTCAATTCAAAACAGGCATGATCTTTCTTTGTGTGTGGCATAGTAATTAATAACTCAGGATCTGAACTTAGGACTACTGAGTTCAAATCCTAACTCTTTAACAAGCTATATAATTTTGAGCAACAAAATAATTAACCTATCACTGATTATCGTCTGTAAGTCAGAAAATTATAGCACTTACCTCATAAAGTCCTTCTATTTGCTCCTATGGAGGGGACAGCTGAAGGGCTATGCACAACTTTTTTTGTAATTGTGATAAAATATATACCTAAAATTTGCCTTATCACCATTTTTTTAAACACAGAATACCTTTATTTATTTATGTATTTTTTATATCTTTATTTTTATTTGCTTATTTTTATATGGTGCTGTGGATCAAACTCAGCGCCTTGCACACCCCTAGTTGAGTGCACTATCGCTGAGCCACAACCCCAGGCTCCTTATCACATTTTTAAGTGTACAGTTTAGTGGCCTCAATTGCATTTGGACTTTTATATAACTACTATCACCATTTCTAACTTTTTCATGTTCCTAAACAAAAATGATAAACCCACTGAACAATAGATAGCCATTCTTCCTTCCCCTTAGTTCCTGGAAATCCCCTTTCTAATTTCTCTCTCTGAATTTGAGGAGGTAGCATACAAATGGAATTACATAGCATTTGTCCTTTGGTGAGTGGCTTATTTCCCTTGGTATAAAATGACTTGAAAGTCCATCCATTTTGTAGCCTGTAAGAGTTTCTTCCTATTCACCTCTTTTTCAAAATGTTTTATTAGTACATATAGTTATATACAGTAGTAGAATTCATTTTGACATATTCATACTTGCATGGAATATAATTTGCTCCATTTCAATCCCTACTATTTCCACTTTCCCTCCCTGCTTCACCCCACATCTCACTCCCTCTACTGTACTAGCTTTCCATTTATGTTTTTATTTTTATTTTTAAAACTTTTTAGATGTTGATGGGCCTTTATTTTATTCATTTATTTATATGTTGTGCTGAGAATCAAACTCAGTGCCTCAAAGTGTTCTACCACTGAGCCACAACCCCAGCCCCTCCATTTATTTTTTTAAAAGGTGCTCTATAGGAAAGTTGGGAATGGAACCACTATTTGACCCAGCTGCCCTTCTCCTTGGTCTATACCCAAAGGACTTAAAAACAGCATACTACAGGGACACAGTCACATCAATGTTGATAGCAGCACAATTCACAATAGCTAAACTGTGGAGCCAACCTAGATGCCCTTCAATAGATGAATGGATAAAAAAAATGTGGCATATATACACAATCGATTATTACTTAGCAATAAAAGAGAATAAAATCATGGCATGTGCAGGTAAATGGATGGTGTTGGAGAAGATAATGCTAAGTAAAGTTAGCCAATCCCAAAAAACCAAATGCTGAATGTTTTCTTTGATATAAGGAGGTTGATTCATAGTAGGATAGGGATAGGGAGCATAGGAGGAATAGAGGAACTCTAGATAGGGCAGAGGGGTTGGAATAAAAAGACAATTAATAGATGCCAATGATGTCATGGCATAGATGTTGGAATTATATAGAAAAGTGCCTTAAAGCATCTACTATTAAAATGCTCAAGAGAACAATCACATATAGTACTAAAATAAAATTTAAGTAGAAAGGATTATTGAAGAAAGACAAAATGTAAAGATAATTCAAATGAAAATTTTAAAACTAATTTTTAATTCATTGGGTTGACTCAATAGTAGAATGAAGATGACAAGAGAAAATAATCCATCAACTAGAATGTAGATCTAATATAAATTATAAAATATAAATACACTGGGAGAGAGAAGGGGAAAAATAAGCGAGTTATTAATAAAAATTCTAATTTTCAACTCATTAGAATCCAAGAAGAGGGGAAAAAGTCTGATACTAATAAAAATTTGAATAAATAATGGCTTAAACCTTCTCAAATGCACCAAAAGACACAAGAAGTTAAGCAAACCCTACATAAAGCTAAATGCAAAGAAATAAATGTCTAGACATATCATAAACTAATAAAAACTAAAGACAAAAACTCTAGGGAAGAAAGAAAAGAGAGAAGTCAGAAGAAAACAAAGCATTACCTTTAAGAAAACAAATATTTTTTAAAATGGGAAAATTGCCATCAGAAACCACAGAGGTCAGAAGAAAATGATAAACATTTTTTTAAATGCCAGAAAAAATTTGTTAACCCAGAATCGGATATTCAACAAAGAAATCCTTCAGAAACTCAGGTTTGAAATGAAGATAATCACAGATGATGGGAAACTAATACCCATCACATCCCAGCCAGTAGGTCTGATCTGAAAGAATTAATTAAGGAAGTTCTTCAGAGAAAGGGAAATGATACTAAAAGGACTTGGAACATTGGGGATGAAGAAAGAGCAACAGAAGTGTTAAACATCTGGATAAATAAAGCAAAATGGTTTTCTTTTCTTCTCTTCCTGAGTATACTCTGGAGTATTTTGATAGTTGAAAATAATACAGTTAATACACCCTGATGAAGCTTTCAAAGAATAAAGATGTAGTATATGAATAAGCTACAATATAAACAGGGAAGAGTAAGAAAACCTATATGTTGATAAAATCTCTATACTGTAATTTAAATGATAAAATATTTATTCTAAATAGACCACAACAAGATTATATTTTATAATCCCTAGTATAACAACTAAAAAGCTATACAAAATCACAATGGATAATTGCAAAGAAAAACACTAGATAGTAAACCAAATACACAAGAAGAAATAACATTGGCAAAGTTTACATGTGTAAATATAAACGTCAGTATTAATATTCTATAATCCATTTTCCTATTATTTTAAAAACAATTGCATAAAAACATAAAAATCCATGCTGATTTAGCAAACAATGTGTAAAGATAATTTGTGAAAATAATAATAGAGGTGGAAAAGAGATAGATAGGTGGCAATATTTTTGTATACTATAGAAATCAAGTTGAATTAACTCAAACTAGAATGTTATAAATTAAGATGTTAGTTGTACTTCACAGGGAATCTACTAAAAATATCACTATAAATATACTGCATAAAAAAGGAAATGGTAAATTAGAAAATATCTATCTTACAGAAAAGAAACTGAGTAACAAAAACATTATAAGACATTTTTTAAAAAGTGCAAATGTGGAAGTGGTTTCCCATCAGTAATTCTAATTAAAGGGTAGAGATTAAGAGAATGGATCCAATTATATCCTATCTATAAAAGACTCAATAAATATATGCCCAAAGACAGAAATAAACTGAAAGTTAAAGGACAGAAAATAAACATTCCATGAAAATAGTAACCAAAATGGATCATATCTATATCAATATCAGAAAAAAACAGACTTTAAGGTAAAAATTGTTAAAAGACACAAAGGACATTATATACTGACAAAAGGCCAATACATCAGGAAGACATAATAATTATAAACATACATGTTCCTAACAACAGAGCCCCCAAAATTTATGAAGCAAAAATTGACAGAAATAAGGGAGAAACAGTGTAAAAATTATAGTATCATTAGCCCATTTTCAATAATAAGTAGATCAACAAAGAAAGTATTTCTGTTATTAGTATTTCTGTTGTATTAATATTTCTGTTGTATGTAATAGAACACCCAAGACGGGTAATCTATAAAGAAAAGAAATTTATTTAACTCAGGTTCTAGAAGTTAGAAGTCCAAGATAAGTGGCTTGATCCTACAAGAGCCTCATGCCACATTATAACATGATAGAAAACCAAAAGAGCAAGCAGGCATGTATAATGAAGAAAGGAACAAAGGACTTTATAACAACCTGCTCTGTGACAACTATCCTACTCTAGTAAGGATTAATCCATTCCCTGGAGAAAGGCATTAATCCTCCTAACAACCTAATCATCTCTTAACAGCCCACCTCCAAACACTGTCATAATGGCAATGAAATTTCACATTTGTTCAGGAGAAGACCAACCACATTCAAACCATAGCAAGTATAAACCACCTGATCTAATAGACATATATAAAATACTCCACTCCAAAATAACAATATACACATTTTTTTCTCAAGTGCACATGGACAAAGCATTATTTAGGACACAAAGCAAGTCTCTATAAATTAAAAAATAATGAAAGAACACATAGTAAGAATCTCCTGTGGCCACAATGAAACAAAATTAGGAATCAGTAATAGGATGACATCTGGAAAATTCACAATATTTGTAAATTAAACAACAGAATCTTAAGCAATCAATGAATGAAAGAAAAAAAATCACAGGGGAAATTTAAAAATTTCTGTGAGATAAATGAAAACAAAGTACAACATACTATCGCCTGTGGGATGCAATGGAGGCAAGTTAATTGTAAACTCTTACACTTAAAACTATTTCAAATCAATAACCTATCCTTCCACTTTAAAAAGTTAGAAAAAAATGTAAGAGCAAACTAAAACCAAAGCTACTAGAAGGCCAGAAGTAGGTTAAAGCAGAGATAGCAGAATCCAGGAAACCAAATGGTCCCTTAAAATGATCAACAAAAGGAACACATCTATTATCTGGACTGTCCAAGAAAAAAACTGAAATTATTAATGGAATAGAATTAAGAGTCTAGAAATAAATCTATACATTAAATAAATCCTTGTTAAAATAGTGTAACTTTTCACTTTTGCCTGCAAATGTCTGATGGGCAGCTGAAAGAAGAATTAAAACCTTGACATTTTGGCATCCATTTTTGTACTCATCTCCTTTGCTCCAAGTCACCTTGGATTCCAGGAACAAGGTCTGGTCTGATAAACATCTTGTGATAATCAAACCTAACTCCCACCCCCAGCAACAGCAACTTTCTTATTAAGACAAGATCTACCTAACCAATCCTGAGACCAGTATGACCACGACTGATCAAGGTCATTTGCTTTGGCAGCTGTGAAAAGCCTTCAGCTGTGCAACCCCCACCACCAAAACCCTTGCCCTCATTCCCCATTCTATAAAACCTCAAAGTCATTATCAGCACCTCAAAGACAGAGCTAAGGAAATGGGTCACTTTGTCTCTATAGTGTAGCTATAATAATAAAAGTTCCTTTTGTACTTTTCACAGAAGGAAAATTACTTTTCCTCTTGGGTTTCTGGAATAAGCAGCCAGACTTAATTTGTTGGATCCCCAAAGTCAGGCCTCTCGCCTAGGACTATGGCAACAACAGGAATTTGGGGATAAAGAAAAAGAAAGATATAGTGAGAATCAGAAGAGAAGTAGCTACATGCCATTGAACTTGATTATTGCCCTGGCATCCTGTTACTTTTTGTGGACAAGGAAATGGGTCATGGACATAGGTTTGGTTGCTTATTTTGCACTTCAAACATTTGTGGGTATTTCTTACATTTCAATGGCATGTAGCGACATCTCTTCTGATTCTCAAATTCAGGGAAAAGTGGCACAAAATTGTATATATAATTCTGTCCTAACTCTACCTCTGGTCTAGCCCCTAGCTACTGTCACTCTACTGTCACACCCCAGAACAAGGGGCTTCTTTCTCTGCCTCTGGATATGGCCCACATTCTCCCTTGAATGTGTATCTGCTTTCCTTTAAAAAAAAAAATCAGTGACTGACTGGTATGTATTGAAATTCTTTTTAATCATGTATACCAAGGACCCAAGTCAAGGTCCTCCTTCCTGGGAACTTCTACATTGACATGCTCATTCATTAACAAAAGAAGTCTTTTGAATAAATGGTCCTTAATCAACCAACTAGTCATGTACAAAAGAATAAAGCTGGATTCTTGCCTCACATCATATATAAACATTTACTCAAAATGGATCATTGGCCCAAATGTGAACAGAAATTACAAACTTAGAATAAAACAAGAGTAAATCTTCATGATCAGGACTTAGAAACATGCTGTTAGACATAATACCAAAAGAAAACATAGATAGAATGGGCTTCACAAAAATAAATGAAAAAAAAAAACTTTTGAGCATCAAGGACACTAACAAGAAAAGGAAAAGATAAAGCAAATAATGAAATATTTGCATTTGCAAATCATATATCTGATAAGGAGTTCATATCTGGAATATATAAAATATTCCCACAACCCAACAAGAAAACAACCCAAGTAAATAATGGGGAAAAGGATGCAAATAGATGTTTCTCCAAAGAAATTAAACAAATGGCCAATAAGCACATGAAAAGATGTTCAACATTGTCACTAGACAAATCAAACTGGAAAACCACACATGATGCCACCTCACACTCTACTAGGATGACTAATAAAAACAAAATAGAAAATAACTAGTATTGACAACATGGAAAAACAGGAACCTTCACACACTGATGGTGGGAATGTAAAATGGTGCAGCCCATACGGAAAACAGTTTTGATAGTTCCTCATAACCTTATAACACAGAACTACCATTTGACTCTCCAATTCTACTCCCAGTTTATGTTTTCTACTAAAAACTAAACTAAAAGAAGTTTATAAATGTTCACAGCAGCATTACTCATAATATCCAAAGGGTAAAAACAACCCCATAGAAATCAACTGAAGAACAAATATACAAAATGTGATATTTCCATTCCATGGAATATTATTTGACCTTATAAGGAGTGAGGTACTGATACATATTACAACCGGCAAGAATCTTGACAACATGATAAAAGAAAAGGAAACATATGATTCTATTTACACAATTCACAAATTCATAGACACAAAAGCAGAATAGCAGTTGCCAGGGGCAGCAATAAAGAGGGTTTATTTTGGGGAGTGATGACAATGCTCTAGAATTAGATAGCACAGTTGTACAACACTGTGAATATGGTAAAAGCCACTGTACTGTACACTTCAAAAAGGGTAAAGTCGTTGAATTTATGTTATTTGAATTTTACTGCAATTTTTTAAATGAAAATCTCCAAGAGAGGATAAAAATGCTACTTTTATCCTAAATCAGATCCTAGGTCAAGCCTCAAGTCAGATTACAACCAAAGTTGACTACACGGTCCAAATCCATCTAACCACTAAACTACAACCTGAGAAAAGTTGTCCATATATCAACATGGAGTCACTTGTATCAAACCCAAACAAAATAGCGAGTCAGGAGGTTGAGAAGAGAAGCGCATCATGCACACGTGGTCTGTGATAAGCACATTAACACCAAGCTCCCTTAAGGGCTCTTAAGCATATATGCCTATAACAAAAACGTTTTGCCACGTACTTCCCACACTGCACCTTGTTCCATAAGTCACAGGGACAGCTTGCTGGACATTGTATTCACTAAGGAACTAAAGTTAGCTCCTGCGCTAAAGCCCTGTAACCAACCTTCTCTATTTCACAACAAATAACGGCACGCTTTTCATTTTTGCCTTGAAAAGCTTCCCTTTGCCTCAACCTCCTTGTTGATGCCTATGTCCTCTGCTGCATGCACAATCCAGTTTGGAGTCCCCTGCTACTCCCGAATAAACCCCGTAGTCCTTAAGGAGTCTCTCGAATTTAGGCTGATCCAAAAAAAAAAAAAAAAAAAGTTTAAATTTAACCCTAAGTATCTAAGTCCCTGTTGGGTGTCTGTTTGTCTGTCTGCGTTCAAGGGGCACCTTCCGTCCCTGCGGAGTCGAGTTCTCTGGAGTAGCGGCAAAGCAGGGTGGCTCACTCCGGCAGGAGCAGGAAAGGTCCCAGACCCGCACACTCACCAATCAGGCCTCGCAACCGTCTCCGCCTCCACCGCTGAGTGGCGCGCGTCGACCCCGAGCAGCGCTTCCTCAACGCGCTCCCCAACCGCTTGCAGCGCAGCGGGCTCGCGATCGGGGGCGTGGTCTAGGCTCGCGCACCAATCAAAGGCGCGGACGCGAGCGGGGGTGGGGAGACTGGGGAGACAGGGAGGCTGTCCTGCAGGGCTGGCGGCTGCTGCGTCTATCTTCCCTGCAAAAGCCCCCTGGAGTCCTAGCCCACCTTTGTCAGACTTTCACAATAATTTCACCGCTTGCTCTTCCTAGGTCACCCCGCCGTGCGCTCCCTCTAGAAAGACAGAGACTGGAGTAAAGGGGGTGAGACGTTTGCCTTAGTCTTAAAGGGGAGCCAACCAGCTACGGAGATTCTTTAATATGATATTTTAAAGTTAAAAAAGTAAACAAGGAGATATATTAGAGCCTAAAATAAAACAGAAACTCCGAATCCTGTCTTTACTTAACATGTTGATATTTTGTTCATCGTGGTTTCTTGCATTAATGTTTATTCTTTAAACATTGCGTTAAAATGTTTTCATGTTGGAATACTGACTATTTGAGTACTGAGTATGTCCCATAAATTTTGTACTGCAGGTGAGTACCACTGGCAGTCACTATACCTGGTTCACCCTAGGAAGAGCTCTGTGCTACCCTCACCTTCAGTGTGGTGGTGGGCAGAAATCTGGGGAAGTGCAAGGGGCCACCTTGTCCCCCAGAATCCATTGGGATTTAAGCAGGGAATTTCCAGAGACTCAGGCACAGAATCCTACAAACCCCTCAGACTTATCCCATAACAAGGTTGCAGGAGAGTGTGGGGAGAAGAATGATCCTGGTTTCCTGGATAGTGGCCCCCACATTACTAGTGAGTTTATTGACATTCTTTCTGTTCAGTCATTATTAAATTAGTAGTGTCATTGTTTTAATAATAATAATTAAAACATCAATAATATTTAATAATAATTATTCATATGCTGATGAATAATACCTATTAAATAAATACTTGCCTGCTAAACACTTGACAGAAGATCTCTTTTATCTCACCACAACTCTGGAAGGTTGATTCTAATATCACTGGTATTATCTAATTTTACAGTTGAGTAATCAGGATTAGAGGAGTGGTTACCTCTCTTGTCTACAGGTTATCTCATATGTACAAGCCTGGACTCAAATCTAAACTGACTAATATCAGAGCCCTTACTTGAGAATCACTAAATATGAAGCTCCTGACCAACTACCAGCTACTTGGTGAGAATTTCAGCCAAAAAGCATTAGAACTCCAATAAACCCCCCAAAACTAGTTAGGATAATAGGATGTTCACATAATGCATCACATCAATTAGTTAAAGTAGGGAAATGATATAATCATTTCTTAAATGTATATAAGACTCTTAACAACCATCCCTAATGAAAGTGCTCTGGAAAGTAATCATAGAAGAGTATTTATATGTCACCCAAAAATATGCTAACTCCACAGCCCCGACTGTCATGAGATGTCTGAACTTCAGTAATCTCCTTCTTCCCTGGGCAGTAAGTACATTCATGGGTCCCTCTGTCAGTTTCCATTGCATCACCAGCTTTTATTCTAGAATATAGCAGTATTTCAGTATACAGTATACAGTTGGCCTTGGTGCAGGTCACCTGGAATTCTGGACCAACCAGTCTCACTAGAACCAATGCTGCTACCACCAAGCAAGGACGAAGGAAGAAGGCTGCTTTCCCATTTTATTATGTCTTCTTTCCAACAATGGTTACAAGCTCTTTAGCTAAAATCAAAGCATCAAGTTGGCAGCTAAAACATCAGGAGGACCTGGGTAAGGTTACCCAAAACCCTCCAAGGAAGATGATTTGAGGTAAGTTACAGACCCCCCCTTTTTTGGTGGGGGTGGGGGGGGAGGATTGTTTTTTAGTTTGGCAGCTATGCATTTATTTTGATACAAATTGGAAATGCTTGAAGTAGGTCATTAATCTATGTTACTTTGCTTCACCCAAAGCTAAAGAAGGTAGTATAATTTTTTAACAAAACATATTAAGTAAATAATAAAAGAGATATCATTAAGTATTAAGAGCTTTCATGAAAACCGATAGTTGGACTAATGGTATTTGGGGCCAACTAAGAATTCTCTTCTACCTGCTTAGGTTTTATACATCCTGACCCACAACAGGATAACTTGCATTTTGAAAAGGCTCTGGAACCTCAAGAGTTAGTTTTCTATGTCTCTAGTCCTATTTGAACTAATTTAAGGCAAAGTTTCTTACTTATGCTTAACTGAGGACCTGGGTGATGTCATCTAAAGCTTCATAAGGAAGACGATATACAGAGTAGTCCTGTTCCTACTGGACATATTAGAAGCAAATACTTAAGCTTTCTCTTTCACCAGGATTAAATTCCTTAATTCACAATGGAAGCAAATAAATAGGTGGTTTTCCTATTTCATACTTTTAGTTGATGAGTATTTGGTTTCGTTTTATTTTGCTTTCTCCTCAAGAATGAAAGACCAAACTGTATTTTCTTTATACTCTGTGTTTTAAAAATCCAGTAAATGTTATGTAATAAAGATTATAACAATACACATAAGGGGCCATAACGTTCTGTAAACCCAACAGCCCTGGAGGTGCTCAACCTCCTTGTGTGAAAACCAGCTTTTCCCAGTTCTCTGTGCCTGCATGTGGATGTTCCTTTCTCCTCCCCCTTCCCTGGGAATACTACTTTAAAAACTTGGTTATCACATGGCTACTCTGTACCAAACACTGTGCCAAATGCACTATATATGATTTCTCACTTCATTGATATATATTTTCACACCCTTTACTAATTCACTCTATTCTATTATGATGTGACCATTTCCTAAGAAATGCCCAGCCAAAATACCAAGAAATTGTATTTATTATTTTCCAGATCCCACTCTTGCTCATCTGTGTTATCCTAAACATTTGCATTCTAAGTACTTAATCTTTCTGAGCATGTAATTTCTTTGCAAAGAACCATACCCTCTTAGCCAATGGTCTCCAAGAAGCAATCCTAGTTTTACTACTGATGCTCCTGACATTAGTCCCTAGTTCTAGCCCAACTCATCTGGCAAACTTACTGTTCCCATGGACTGGACAACATTCCTTGCACACCTGGGATTCACCTGGCCTGAAATGTCCTCTTCCTCCCTCTCTGCCAGAGTAGCTTAATGATCATGAGTATCAATCTGGAATCTGATTCCAAAGGCAAAGCCCAACTCTTCTGTTAACTTGCTGGGTGACCTTGGACACATCCCTTCCCTTTTCAGCGCCTAAAATGGACAGTAAGGCTCATAACACCACCTACATACCTCGGAGATTATTGCATAATTAAGTGAAATAATGCAGTAAAATGCATGGTGCTGTACTAGCACATATCAATAATAATCGTGATCATAAGTATTGTCATCATTATTATCATTCCAAGCCTTGGTTTCTCCTGCTTTTTCATGACACTCTAACCACTCCAAGTCAAAATAATCTCTTTTCTTTGAATTACACAAAGTTGTTTCCATATGACTGGTTTAGTAGCCAGGGGTTACTACTGTACATCATTGATTTCCCTCCAGGGTGCTTTCTGTCCTGTTTCCTCAAGTGCAATGTGAACTCCTTGGGGAAAACAAAACAAAACAAAACAAAAAACCTCTGCATTTTGCTCTTTGTGTGACTGAGGTCATTACACCTTGCCTTGAGAACTCTCTCCTCTAAGGTGAAGTTTAATTTGATAAGTTAGCCTGAGAGACAGCTTTGCACTTAAAGCCATTAATAGCCAGGCATCTGGGGAGTGTGGGTGGGAGTAAGATTGGGATTGGAGCCTCCAGATGGGGACAGAATTGAAAGCAAAGTATTTAATAATCCTGTCTCCTTTCATCCAAGATCTAGCAGCAGGTAATAGTTTAAGACATAAGAGATGCTCGCTACAGGATCCTGTGCCCCATCTCCCTATCTCCTTTGCCAAGACAGTAGCCAAGAGCGGAGTTGGTGGGGAGGAGCGGAGATGGAGTGCCAAAGTCCTCACTAACACGTCTAGCCAGGAATGTAGTTAGAGCTAATCCCAGGAAATTAAGAAAGTAGACTCAAGAATTCTAACTCCTGGCCTGACGCCGATTCCACCCCTGGGGAGCACCCACCTCACTCGCTCTTGGAGTCGGGGGGGGGGGGGGGGGGCGGAGACAAGCCTGGGCGGGGCGATGTTGCCCGGCTCCCGGGGACTGGCGGCTGCCCAGTAGGCGGCACCGCAGCCCAGCGGGCGCGCTCTTATAGCGCGCCGCGGGGGGAACGTGGGTGTCAGTCGGTGCTGGGCTGAGGTTAGAAGGCAGGCGGCGAGATGAGCCGGGCGCCCGCATTCCTGAGCGCCGCCGAGGTGCAGGACCACCTCGGAAGCTCCAGCCTCCTCATTCCGCCTCTGGAGGCGGCTCTGGCCAACTTCTCCAGTGGCCCGGACAGAGGAGTCGTGCAGCCCGTGCGCACCGTGGTGCCGGTGGCCAAGCACAGGGGGTGAGTGAGAAAGACCGGGGTAAAGGTCCGGAGACACTGAGGAGAAGGACCAGGAGGCAGGGAAGGGATGCTGTGGGAGAAGGGAAAAGAGGACTTGCTTGATCATTGCTAATGGCAGCTGTCACTTCCTCGGTAACCTCTGTTAAGTGGGCGCTTTACAGGTGTTACCAGGTTTAATCAAACAGAGTCCACATCGGGAGATATTGATGGGGAAAAGAGACTCAAGAGAGGTTAAATGATTTACCCAGGCGTACACAGAGCTAATAAGTGGCCGACCTGGGTTTGTTTTCTGACCAGAGTCAGGCTTTTGAACACACTAAGCTTTTCGGCTTAGTGCATAAGGGAAGGGCAGAGGTAATGAGGGTCGGGAGTGGAGCTGTGGGGGAGGAAACAGAAAAGATGGCGAATCGGACTTTATAGGAGACCCCAGTGTTGATGGGAAGGGTTTGAAGCTGCTCCCTCTCTCCATGTAGCTTCCTGGGGGTCATGCCCGTCTACAGTGCAGCAGAGGATGCCCTGACCACCAAGTTGGTCACCT